AGGCAGGGGAACAGAAGAACCACAAATAAGGGACTTCAGTTGGCAAAAACCAGATTACTTCAAGGCTATTCTTGGAAATGAAAACATCATCTTTTGGTTCTTGCCAGAAAATGCAGAAACTTTTCATATTTCTGGCTGGTTGGTTTTATTTCAAATTCATATCAAACTCCAAAAAGGCAACAGCTGGGTGGTGGTTAACAAGGAAGACTTTAACAAGAGATAGTCACTGAGGATCCTGTGCTTTGAAAAAAAAGAAAAAAAGAAAACCCTTGACCACTTTCTTCGGGGGCAGTGGATAGAGGGTATCCACTAAAGGTGTTACATACACCCCAGTTCTCTGGAAGAAAAGGCTTGAAGCTCAGACTTACTGAGTCCCGCCAAGTGCTCGGCCAGCTCTTTCCTATTCGCCACTGACACTGCCCTACATTCTGAATGTGTTCAGTCCCTCACCACCCTTGGCGTGAGGTTTCCCACTTCACAGGTGGGGAACTGAAAACTCAGAAGCTAAGTGATTTGTCCAAGGTTATGTATCTTGAGGAAGTGAATATGAACTGAGATCTTCTAGATTGAAATCCTTTGTCCTCTAGTTTAAAGTATAAGGGTTGAGTATCCCTAATCTGAAATCCAGAGTTCCCCCAAACCTAAAATGTTTTGAGCGCCGACATGACACGCAAAGAAAATGCTCAATGGAGTATCTTGGATTTTGAATTTTTGGATCCTCATCCAGTAAGTATGATGCAAATATTCCAAAATCAAAAAATATATATATCTAGGCTCAGTGCCTATGGCTCAAGCTGCTAAGGCGCCAGCCACATACACCTGACCTGGCGGGTTTGAATCCAGCCTGGGCTCACCAAACAACAATGACAGCTGCAACCAAAAAATAGCCGGGCGTTGTGGCCGGCGCCTGTAGTCCCAGCTACTTGGGAGGTGGAGGCAGGAGAATTGTGTAAGCCCAGGAGTTGGAGGTTGCTGTACCCGGGGTGATAGCTTGAGGCTCTGTCTCAAAAAAAAAAAAAAAAAAAATATATATATATATATATACATATGTATACATTTATTTATATAGATCTAAAACCCTAAGTACTTCCGGCCCCAAGCATTTTGGATAAGGGATATGTAACCTGTATGTAATTCCTTGACCTGGAAAAGTCTCAGTAGTCATGAATTATGTTCTCTTTTCCCTTCCTTTTGATTTGTTGATATTTGAGCCATTTGAAGAATAGTAATGAGTACTGATTATCAGGTATCCCTAAATACTTTACATACCTGTTCTCACTGATTCTTACAACCCTATGATGTAAGCAGTAGGGTCAGCCCTCAGCACCCATGGGCTTTACAAACCCACTGGAGATTTCTGAAAGTACTCAGAAAAAAAGTAAATGGTTGCATCTATACTGAACATATACACATTTTTTAATGCCATTATTTCCTGAACAATATAGTATAACAACTATTTACATAGTATTTATGTTGTATTAGGCATTATAAATAATTTGGAGATGACTTTAAAGTGTATGGGAAGATATGCATACATTCATTTTATATAAGGGACTTAAGTATATGTGGATTTTTTTTTTTTTTTGAGACACAGAATCTTGCTGCATTGGCTAGAGTGCAAAGGCATGACCATGGCTCACTGCAGCCTCAAACTCCTAGGCTCCAGCAATCTTTCCATCTCAGATCAGACTCTGGGGTAGTTGATGCTTTAGGCATGTGCCACCACACCCATGTAATGTTTTTATTTTTTGTAGAGACAGAGTCTCAATGTGTGGCCCAGGATGGTCTTGAATCTCTGAGCTCAAGCAATCTTCCCTGGATTAAGGCCTGAGCCACTGTGTCCAGCTACGTATCTGGATTTTGGTATCAGTGCAAGGTCCTAGAATCAATCCCCTACAATACAGAGGGAAGACTCTGGAGGAATGTGCCAGTTTGAAAAATAGTTTTGTAAATCAGTTTTCTAAGTTCTCATTTCACAGATGAGAAAACTGAGGCCAGATAGATGAGATAACTTGCTGGAGTCACACAGCTAGCAAGTGCTTAAGACCAGATTCACAGGTTTGCCTGATTCTGAATACGCTGATGTTCTCCCTCGAGGAAAGCTGCCTTCCATGGTATTGGTCATTGTTAAGGTCCTTGACTTACATGGGAAAACTGATCTTGAAGGCTGAGAGTGGACCGTTAAGGTCCAGGGAGGCAGGTCTGAGCCTGGTACGGGCTGCTGGAGTTACACAAGCTGAGCTTATCTTCTCCTGTCAAGCCATCTCCCTCCACCTCACCTATCTCACTCCAGATAAGGGCCAGTTCCTGGAGCTCCCACGCCCACCTCAGCCCTCAGCACTGCCTTTGGCTCTTTCTCCATTGGCGCCCTGAGATTAAATTGTTCATTCTTCTTTTTAAGGAGGAGGGGAGGTGGTGGGGGTGGGAAGGAAACAGGTTCTCCCAGTTTATAAATTAAATTATCATCTGGGAGTCAGGTCTGGCTTGATACCTCCAAGCAGTTCTTGATTTTAGACAAGGAGGAGGCGACAACTTAGAAAACTGATTTACAAAACTATTTTTCAAACTGGCACATTCCTCCAGATACAGATCTGCCCCATGTGACGGTTGCACTGTGTGCCTCCCAGCCGGGCCTTCCATGCTTCTCACCCTTCACAGCAACCCTGCAAGGCTGCCATTATTATCCATATCTTGCAAAAGAAGAAACTGAGGCTCATAAGTGGACTGTGTGAGGCCGCATAGGTGGTGAGAGGCCAAGCTGAGTTTGGGACTCGGGCTCTACTAGCTCCAAAGCCTTGTGGATTTCTCATCAGCAGTCAGTCCTCAGAAAAGAGTGCAGGGCAGCCATCGTATTCAAGTAGGCTTATATTTGTCTGCCAGCTGCTGCATCCTGTGTTCAAGGCTGGGCACAGAAGTGGTCCCAGAGGTAGATAAAGCCTGAGAATGCTCACATGCTCTGAAAAGCAAGCGAGGCCTGCCACTGTTTATGCTCCCTGGGCAGTGTCACTCCTGGGGATGCAGGGACGCAGTAGGAGGTGGTGCTGATGTAATTCCAGAGTGAGCCCAGCAGACATCTGAGAGCCCAGAGAGTATCTGGGAGGGGCAGGGTGCAGAGTCCAGTCTGTTGGAGGCGTTGGGTAGCCAGGCAAGGCCTCATGGAGGTCCCAGGCTTGGACGAGGAGTGGGCACTGTTTGGGCCCAGAGCAAGGCATATGTGCCAGTGTCCCTTTAGCCGAGCCATTGCCAGGTGACTCAGAAGCTCTCAAGGAAAGTGGGAAGGGAGGGCAGGTCCCGGGACAAGTTGTAGGTGTCCCCCTCCCCTGGTGTCTGGATGTTGGTGTCTGGAGAGCTTGTCTGCCCTGCCTTGTCCTCCTGGGGTCTCATCTGCCTGCTGTCCACTGCAGAGGCTGCTCCCGCTTGACCTGGGGTGGGGGGACACTCTGCCATCTACCCTGGGGGTCCCCACCAAGGTCCCCCACCATACCTGCTCACGAGTCCTGAATTCCTGACTCCTTGAACTTGAGGTCTTTCCACACCTGTGCCAGTGCCTCCCAGACTCAGATCTCTGTGTGTTGTTTCCTGGGCCTAGAATGTCTGCTGCCCCGCCTTCTAGTGCAGTCCTCCTACCACTGGAGGTTTCTTGACATTTCCCTCCGTGGCCCTCTGGGCTCCTTAAGGCTCTGTTGGATACCTCCTGCACTTTGTTCATATTCTACTGGTCCCTGCCTGGCGTCTTGTAATCTGTCCTCCTGGGCCTGACCCTATGCCAGCCATCTCTGTACCCCAGCACCTCGTGTGACACCTGACTCCTGCTCAGGCACCAATAGTGTTGCTGGATGACTAAGTAAGAGATTAAGGAGGATGATAAACACCATTCCCTGATTTTCCTATTATAAACCCACCCCTCAGTCCAAATGTGTCCACGATAAGCATGATTGTCGAGAGTGTGAAGCTGCTGCGAGGGCCCCGCATCCCGTGGGTTTGCTGAGCTCCCCTGGCCAGGTTTCTGTCGGGGAGCTCCTGGTGGTGAGTCCTCTTATTTACAGACGCCCTCAACCTCCTGACAGCCAGGTCCGCCCCAGTTCCTCCACGTTTATCTTTGTGCTCTAGCTTTGGATTCTGGAAAAACAGTGCTTTGGAAAATCAGTTCTTTATTTTTGACTTTCCTAAGAAATGCCTGAGGTTAGAGTGGTGCAGAGCGAAAGCTCGATGGCCAAAACCCAGGCGAGCTATTTTTGTGATTTGAATGAGCACCCGTCGCATTTTCCCCTCCCATCAGCCTAAGCACTTGTTCCAAATAGCTCACAGCCTGGGCTTACAAAGCACAGGCTCCTTCTCCGTGTTGGGAGGAGGCGCCTGTGTGTCCCTCTGTCTTGCATGTATCTGACTGAGGTAGGTGCAGTGCTTCCCAGGAACAGAAAAGTTTTGAGAAGCTGCCATTTGTGCATAGGGGAGACACCTGCCCCCTGGGAACTATCAAAGACAGACATTACAGTTTGATATCTAAGGCTAGGTGGGATGGTCAGGGAACCTTGAGAGGAATGTGCTTTGGATTTTTTTTGTCTGTGCACAATGTAATGGGGCTAGATTATGTTCATATGAGTCAACCAATTTGTAGCACCAAGAATGGCATGTTTTCAAAGGTACTAAATCTAGTATACTTTTCTATTTTTTTTTCTTCTTGCTAGTCACTATTTTCAGAACCATCCAATTTGTAGCAAGATGGACCAGGTACTGTTGACATGAGCCAGGGCATAGCATTGTACAGTCTGTGGTTCTTTTCAGCCAGTGAGGAGGAGAGCAGTGTAGGGGAGAGATTGCCAGGTGTGAAGGCACCATTGTACATCTTCTTTCCATGGTTTATGCTTAGCATTGAGCATTAAGTATTATGGTTAATATTTTAGTGTCTTAAAGGAGTTTTATCTTTACCTTTCCACCCCACCCCACCCTCACCCCTTATTGCCCATGAAGCTAACCTCTGCCTTCATCTACCTCTGCAGGTGTGACGTTTCTCCAGGTGCTTGATGGTATTCTACTCTGTACGCTCCACACTACTGTTCCACACAGCTCCTGAACCATGGGGGAAAACGAAGATGAGAAGCAGGCCCAGGCGGGACAGGTGTTTGAGAACTTCGTCCAGGCATCCACATGCAAAGGGACTCTGCAGGCCTTCAACATCCTCACACGACATCTGGACCTAGACCCTCTGGACCACAGAAACTTTTATTCCAAGCTCAAGTCCAAGGTGAACACCTGGAAGGCCAAAGCCCTGTGGTACAAATTGGACAAGCGTGGCTCTCACAGGGAGTATAAGCGAGGGAAGACGTGTATGAACACCAAGGTAAGGGGAGAGCCTGCGCAGGCAGCCCTGTGCAGGGTGTATGGGTTGGCCTTTGGGAGGTTAGGAAGCTGTTGCCATTTTGCCATGCTAAGCCTCTTTAGTAGATGTGGGTGTGAATGTTGTGTTGTTTTGCTCAGGTGGAGATTTCCTTTGTCTATACGTGTCAGCATTTTCTCCTCGGGAGTTTCCATCTTATCATGGTGGCCTCAGTAACTTTTCTTGTGCCCTCTCCAAGGGAGGAAGCCCTATGGTCCAACCACAGGCGAGGTTGAGGGACGGAGGCAGATACCTGATGTTACCCTACTCTTCCTATCACTACGGCCATGGCTACCTCTAGCAGCTGCTGTTTGTTGAGTGACTTCTGTGTGCTAGGCACTTCATCTCCATGGTCTCATTGAACACCCAGGGTAGTCCTTCAGGCCATTTTCTTTCTTTCTTTTTTTTTTTTTTTTTTTGAGACAGAGTCTCACTCTATCACCCTGGGTAGAGTGCTATGGCATCATAGCTCACAGTAACCTCAAACTCCTGGGCTCGAGTGATCTTCTTGCCTTAGTTTTTCTATTTTTAGTAGAGATGGGGTCTCATTCTTGCTCAGGCTGGTCTCAAACTCCTGAGCTCCATCAATCCACATGCCTCAGCCTCCCAGAGTACTAGGATTACAGGCCTGAGCCACCATGCCCAGCCTGGGCCACTTTTTT